GACCCCCTACTTTTCGCGATGATTCCTCAGAAAATATTCTCTATGAATTGCAGAATCCAGACTCCGTCAAGGAGATTAGACCACTTGTTACAAATATGAAAACCACCCAGGTAACAACAAACCTATCACTCGGCTCACACAGATTTTCAGAGTTCTTAGATTGGAAGAAACTCATCGAGTCCATCGCGAGATTGAAACATATGGCACAGAATTTCAATGGACTAGGGCCTTGTACAGGATGGCATTCCTGTAAACTCACGAAATCAGTCTCATCTTTAGTAAAAATGAATTATTTCTTTGAAAATCTTCTTCTTTGCTCCTGGGTATTAAATAACCTAACCAAGTACATAGTTATGTTGAATAAGGCTACCTCTTCCAAAATTGTGAATTTCATGGCCCCTGGGTTGGGGGTTCTGGTGTTAGGGCGGGGCTTCATAGTGAAAATGCATCAATTCTTTAAAACTCTTCTTTTCTGCACCTGAGTATTTAACCAAAGAACTATGCACATAGTTATGAGGAGGAAGGATGCCTCTTTGAGATTTTTGATTTTCAGGGTCCCTGGGTTAGGGCTTCTTGTGTTAGGGCAGGGTTTTAATGTTTATATAGTGAAAATGCATGAATTCTTTGAAAATCTTTGCCTTTGTTGTTGGGTATAATGCCAATGATCTTAGTATATATTTATGACAAAAAAACACTGCTTCTTCCAAAAATGGTTAATTTCCTGGCCCGTTAGACAGAGGTACTTGGAGGAGGGGGGGGGGGGTAACGTAGTCTGAAGTAATTTAATGCTTTGAAATCTGCACTTTGGTATTAATCAGCAGCATGAAGAAATATTTTTTTAAAAAATTTCCAAAATTTTGAAAGATGTGGCCCCAGGGTTAGTGGTTCCTATGGGATGGGGAGATCAACTGTGGACCCGTCCTAACTCAAGAAGCCCTGACCCAGGGGCCCTGAAATTAACTAAAAGTGGAAATGCATTTTCTCTTTGTTAATCTGATCTACCTCTGGGTATTAAGTAACCAAAATAAGCATGCTGGGTGTATAATTATGATAAGCAATGGTGCCTGACTTTCAAAATTATAAATTTCATGGCCTCTAGTTTAAAACATGAATCAAATTCAATTGTTGGAAAGTTAATAATTGTTGCATGATACTCAGGTGACCTATAAGGCCCATGGGCCTCTTGTTTTTTTTTTTTAATAATCTTTTTCTTATTATTGTAATAACCTCACACTTTTCTGTTTTGGACTCTAAATTAGAAATAAAACGCTGTTTTATTGTGTACTTAGAAATTAGCTACAGAAAAAAAGTTATGAAATAAAATTCACAGACTTTGTTTTCACTAGGTTGCGTGTCATCGACCTCTAAATATTTTCAATATTTGAGGTTTACAATGGTGCCAAACAAGGAATGCACTTAATTGTCGATTTCTTTTTGTGATTGCCGATTTCTTTGTGGAGAAATTGTAAAATAATATTGAAATTTTTTAAATAGTCTATTGAACTAGCAAATATTCTCCTTACTTGTAAATTAGTTTTATTAATTATTAGATTGATTTATAGATAAATATCTGAGAGGGTTTTCCTTTTTTTTGCTTTTAATCACCAACACATAATAAACTTAATAGCTTATATGAAACATTTTATATAAAATATTTTATAAAACAATTTTATTTGTTTGATTTTAGGTGAAGTTTTATACAGGGTGTCCCAAAACATATGTTACACTTTTAATCATGTACAACTTGATCAAACCAAAAGCATTCACAAAGATATTTTGTCAACATGAAGTGTATTAGTATACATTTTTTCTGACAAACTTTTAAGAAATTCTATTAAAAATTAAGGTAATTATGATGTCCTTATGACGTCATAATATTTTTTAATATGGAACCTTCATGTGAACAGCTGGTATAATTTGTAAAACTTTACTATGGGTCTAAATCTTCTATTTTAGTCATTAGAACCATGGGAAAACAACATCCTGTAATGAAATTACTTAACAGAAAACTAATTTACAAATTTGTGAAGGAGTTTGAAGTTAAAGGCACCATGAATGACACATGACTTAATTCTGGCATTAGAAGACCAAGGGTGCCCGTACCACAGAGAACATTAATCTCACTGATAAACTTATTACTGAAACTTAAAAAAAACTTAAACGGGTTCTCTATAAACAATATAGCACCTTTTATAAATCTAGTGTCCATAACATACTCAAATTTTAATTAAACTTAATTTCTTATGAGATATAATAAGTATAATGCAGCATTTGAAAGAGACAGAAATTAGAAGTCATTTTGGGTTTGCCCATTGGATTTTAATTAGACCCGACCCTGAAAAATTAACAGAAGTATGGTTTTCCGATGAAGCCCACTTCCATTTTAACAATGTTTTTTAAGAAAATCTTAAACTCTGTTGTTTGGTGAAATCCAGTTTTAATGTGGAAAACCATCCAAACTGTTAGAGTGTTACATTTAAGTTTGATAAAAAACATCAGAAATCGTGTTCAAACAGTGTTAATTTAAAGGGATCTCATTTAGAAGATGTTGTAAGATGAGGTATGTTATTCTAAACAAAAAATATTGATAACAAATAAGGAAACTGTGACACATGTTTGCTTGACAAAAAAATTATAACAATTTTAGGCCTATTATGTATTATAAATTTCATTAACATAACTTGAGGCATAAAATTTTTATAACAATTTAATAGTGTAACATATGTTTTGGGACACCCTGTATATAGTGTGTGTGGGGGATTTTTTAAAAAAAAAATTTGAATGTTCAGACACCTTGGGTCATTCCTAAAGACTATACTGTGTATACCATGTACTGCATGTATATATTACGCCTGGTCACAGCCCATTGTTCCTCTAAGGTAGAAAAACCTCTCAATCCACATGAATATACAAAAAATACACCAACACGGTAGCAGGTGTCTTCGCGACACGTCTCTCCCCACCTGTGGCACGTGAGGACAGGTGCCCGCGAGTGGGGTTCAAAGAAAAGGATTGAAAATTTGATCAACTTACATACTACTTTTATTTAAACAAAAAAAACAAAAAAAAAAAAAAAAAAAAAAAAAACAAGTAAGTTCTAAATCACAAATTTAGCACATTATACATCTCAATACGAATATAATTGAACATATTACTAAAAAGTATAGGTACCGCGTTTTCAGTAATATTGCATTAATTAACATCACGAAAGCAAGATATTTTTAAAAAAATAAATAAATAAAAAAGCCTACACATAATATGCAATCTAATTAAAATGAGATTTTCCATTCGCTCCCAGGGTATTGTTTCACAAAAACAGACTTTTTACATTAATAAGTCTTCCTCGTGCGAATAAGCCTTCGGGTAACAAATGAGGAGATTTAATTTTAAGTAGACTGACATAATATGCTGCACATCTTAAGAACCATGGCATCAAATGTTCAGGACATGTTTTCTTGCAATATTTTTTATACTATAACACACCTCCCAACCTTATTAATATTCAGGGTCATGAACCCAAGGGAGCATTCATTGCATCAGATATTTTCTTTAAACAAGGAAAGACAACTCAAGATTTATTTTAATTGTATAGTCAGTTTCTTTTATCAATTTATATACATTTAAACAGTAATAAAATTGGGACCAAAAAAAAAAAGAAAAAAAAAATTGTGAGATATATGTTTTATTTCATCAAGATCATTTCTGGTCAATTTTTATGTTGAATAAGTAAAACATTAACACACAGTGTATTTTCAGTATGAAATACTGCATAGGTATATGAACGTGTTCACTAAACTTCTGTTTAATAAATACAGGTAAATTGATTTTCAAGTATACCTGATTTCACATAAGCTACATATCTGCAGCTGCTAGTACATGCAAATATTTCTGGGAGGTATCTATCTTACATAATTATATTCAGCTATTAATTTTTTTCTGTTAACTGAATTCAACAAAAATAATTTAAACTGCTATGCACACCATTTATATATCATGACTCAAGACAAAGTAAACAAACAGCATGCAATTATGTTTGTATTTACAAGAAATTTACTAAGCACTACATGTAGACAGACAATGGAATGTTCAACAACAAATAAGTTGTATATTACAAGCATATGTTATAATAAAGATTATGCTGTTTAAAAATGAAGTAAAAAATTATAAATCTATATTTAGATACCCTTCTCAAGATCTCCAAATTTTGACAATTTTTAACAAACAAAATTAAGTGCACATGTACATTCTAAATATTTTTTTTTCATATTCAAAAAAATTAAAGTTCCATTTTTTAAAGATAATCAACCTTAAAATAAAATTCAGAGTAAAAATATTCAAGTGTTTCTCCTTTTACTGATCTGGTTTAAAATACATGTGTATTACAATATGTAATTCATATAGTTTAAGCATGCAATACCAGTGAGAGCTTCATGTACCTATTACCTCCCTTTTTTACAAACATTTTCTATACTGTGATTGAATTAAAAACATCAGTTTTAAGTTAAAAATCTTATCTTATTATTTTATTACCTATGAAGTCACCTGCATGGCACAGTGGCAAGAGCGTTTGCTCGAGAGTCATGAGTAAGGAGTTGATCCTTAATTTGCTGGTTCAAAATCCCACAGTCGGACAGAGAGATGAGACTGTATATACAGAGGTCCTGTTTTGCAGTAGGTGCTAGCACCAAAAAGATCCCTCATTGCTCAATTAGCCATGTGTGCCAAATAAAGGACAAAATTTGCAGCTCTCCACTGGCAAATGTTGGCATCCCCATATGAGTGAAAAATTCTCAAGAAGAATGTTAAACAACATACAAATAAACTATAGAGTCTTTGAATATGCAAATTCTTTTTTTCTGAGAAAGGGATCCTCAAATGATGTTTAGATATGTTCATAAGAGTAGAAAAGTACTGCAAATCCCAGCTAGTCTTCATGGATTCAGTAACCATTTGTTATATGGCCTGAAAAATATAAAATGTTAATGCACTAACATGAAAGTATATGATTGATATTTTTATAATTCATCATAAATTAATTGAATCAATAAAATAAAGTCACACTTGTTATCTTGAAATGCTTATGCAACTGCTGAAAAAAACTGAGATATCCAAGAGATTCAGGGTAAGATATATAGAAAAAAAAATGTCGTTCAAGGGACTTTAAAATGACTTTGATATCTCAATGTGTTCAAGATATCACTCATTGTCAAAGATATATACCAAATTTCAACTCTAAACAGGGTATATAAAATTCATTTACATGTATGCCATTTACAGTTGCTATCGTAATTCAATCTATCATTGTTCATTTATAATCTGCATGAGAAAGAGATATGAGCAAAATGAGGAAATTATAAATTAACAAAACTAAATCATATATATGCAATTCCATGTGTTTGCAAATCATTAATCCAGTTTGTAATACTGTCATGAACGTCAACATACCCTAAGTAGTGAAAGTTGTTTGATTTTAAGATACTGTTGTTTAACTGTACTTATTCAGATGGCACTGTATTCATTTTAATCTCTACTTAACTTGAAAGCCAAGAAATAAACAAAATGATTTTTCAATATTTACATAGGACCTTCAAGATAAACATTCTGTTTCTAATTATGGCACATCCATTACCCTTGATTCTGGGATTCTGTACTAGGATGTATTCGTTCAAAAAATATGATGTATCGTGGCCCTGATAACCTTGAAAAGATTTCATAATAAAAAGCTTCAGCCTTAAACATTCCAGAATAAAACTTTGACCCCCCACTGTGGACCCCCCTACCCTACAGCTATATGATCTGAACAAATCTAAATCTCCTCTTAACTATCTCAGAGTGACTAATCATGACCTGCCTATTCTTGAAAAGAATTATGATTTAAATTTTTGTCTACAGATTACTATTGTTCTCTCTATTTTATTGCTGTACTCTATTTACATCAATAACATATCATCACCAGTAATCAACATACCTTCTCTTTGGACTTGACATCCTTTCCTTAGATTCTCGTGGTTGAAGCTTTCATCAGATAATTTGTTTTGTTACAGCTGAACTACAAATACGATTAATAAGTTGATACAATCCTCTAAATTTAATTAATCCAAATAACATACAAGCATTTGCAATTATGTGGAAAAAAACTGGATGAAAAATACTGACAAGTATCAATGCACTACATGCAAATCAGAAAAATATGTAATGCAATCATTTACAGTCTGCATAATATGCTGATGTATGTATCAGCATAATTTTCAGTTCACTAAATTGTTTGCTGAAACAGACAACCAACTGTATTTATACATTCTCCTTTAATGGATTGGATTTTTTTTTCTTCTGCCTTTGAACTTACATGTACTGTTATGCAGCATGATGTGAGAATTTTTTCACCCATTCTTTACCATTAAAGTAATTCTGCTGAAAATAGAACAGGATGTGATTAAATCTTTTGAGAATTAAACAAAAACAAAAATATTGATGCACGATTTTCAATAAGAATTATATTGACCCTCTTTGTTTATTCCAATCAGCATGATCAGGATGATAATAATTAAATAATAATGTTGCCTGTTATAGATTTATCCTTACAATTACATACAGCAAAACTCGGTTATAACGAAGTCGCTGGGACCTATTATATTACTTCGTTATATCCGTAATTCGTTATAACCGTATAAGAAATTCATCAAATTTATATAGCTGGGGATCCACCATGAATTCGTAATATCCGTAAATTCGCAATATACGTGTTCGTACTAAACGAGTTTTATTGTATACAATACTCACAACAGTCAAACCTTGAACTTGCACATCACTGACTTCAGAGTATATCCTGCAAGGAACATTCATTGCACATTATAATTGAATTGATTTGATTTTCTTTTTTTATATTTGCTTTTTTTTTGTTTTATTTTAATGAAATTATATTTTCTATGCATTTAATACAGTATCATACACATACATATTGAAGACCATTTTTAAATTCAGTCAACAATAATGTCATATTCTTCAAAAGAAAAAACATACATTGTATACATGTAAACATCAGCAAAGCCCATATTTTAAAGAAGGAAAAAAAATTTGTTCTTGTGTGTATAATTTGTGTGGGATGGTGCATATCACTAAAAAAAACAAACAACAAAAAAGGACGGAATGTCTTGATAGCTGACTTTACAATGCAAGGCTAAAAAATAATTGAAGGCCCACATGACTGGGATCAGTGATTTTTTTTTTATCTAGGCTAGTACATGGGAGGGGGCATCTGTCTTTTGGGTCAGGTCTATGTATAACAAAATGCAATTATACTTGGGCTAGTAACTTGACAGGCTTGTTTCAAAGTTCTGTCATTTCATTATTATGGTTTTGGGTCAGTCTCCTTTTATTATTAAAATCTAGTAACCAGTGGGATAGTAATATTATGATGAGCTGACCAGTAAAAAGCCTGAGTGAGCAGTTAAAGAAAACTATTTCTAGCCTGGGCCTACAATGATTTCACATTTGTGCTTCATGATATACATTTTCTAAATTCAATAATGTTTGTTTGTTACCTTATAGGGTCAATTGTGTTATTTTTGTCATACCTGGAGATGGCTGTTCAAAATGTACTCTAACCTGCAATAGATAAACAAAAAAGAAAATTACTTTTCATTTAACACATTGAAATAATTAAACAATATGTAAATAAAATACCTGTATTCTTACAAACAAAAATGCAAAACATCAATGTAAATTATCTTAAGCAATATCTTTTCATTACACAGATTGATGCATGAATGCATGTAATTAATTATACCCCCCGCTTGATAAGCGGGAGGATATATTCAGTAATCGGTATGTCCGTCTGTCTGTTATGCTTTGGTGTACCCATCTCTTATCCGCTAATTCCTCTCATACCACTGAGTGATATTTGATGACTTTCACAGAATCTATATTACATATTGCAATTGTGCATCTTCTATTTTAATTTTTGTTCTGCCACATATTTGGGGTTTCCCATAGCAAAACATGGACACAGTCATTATATTCATATGAGAAGTGATGGGTATCATTTAGTGTCAGAGCTCATTCCTCACAGTAAATCTAGTTTTATAATATTCATACTGTATTTCAGTAGCTACTTTTAGATGGCCAATACTTTAAAAGGGAAAATAGTGGTACACATAGAAATATTCAAAAATTTTCATAAACTGCATATGTGATTGATTGATTGTATGTTGTTATAATGTCCCTCTTGAGAATTTTTCACTCATATGGAGATGCAACCACTTGCCCCTGGAAGGCTACAAATTTTGTCCTATGCTCGGCACTGAGGGCCTTTGAGCAGGGAGGTATCATTTTTGTGCCAGCACCTACAGCGACACGGGGCCTCGGTTTATATGGTCTCATCCGAAGGACTCAGGTCTCCACGACCCACAGTGGGATTCGAACTTGCGACGTAAGGATTGACTCCTTACTTCCCAACTCTAGAGCAGATGCTCTAATCACTGCGCCACGCGGGCGACAACTGCATATGTGAAGTTTTATACCTGATATATACACAAGTATGTGAGAACTGCATTGACATCATCTGATCATAAATTCTATGATATTAAATTACTAAATTAGAAAAGTAACAACCATATTTTGATCAGTAGGCTATAGTGAAAACTGCATGATTGATATAAACAGCTGACACTAATAAAACTGCAAAATGTAAACAAACCTTTAATCCTTTATCCAAGTACACATGTATATGTGTAGAGGAAATTCGGAAGAACTTCTTGTGCTACACACGAGTACGGATAGAATTAAATTTAGTCTCTTGGTATTTGAAAAACACATATGGTTCTCACAAATCACTGGGTATTGATAAGTAAGAATAATGACTTTTATACGCGTAACTCTGCATATGCATGCTTAGTAGACTACCTTACAAGTAGGAACGAACTATAGCACACCTGTAATTTCTCTTCTATTTAAAACATGCTATTAACAGCATTTGACAAACATGTCCTAAAATATTTAGCCATTTTGTGCTACAGGTAATCGAAAAAATAAATGAAATTCTACTTACGAGTGTTTTGTTTACTAAATCAATGTATGTGGGTTAATCTTGACCGACATAAACTACTCCCTTCCACGTGGAAACATGTTTACAAAATAGAGAGGTGCTGTTTTGACACTTTAAAGTGCAATAGCACTTGACATAATAAGAAACTGCAAATCTACTTTCACTTTTCAGGTAAAGAAACGTTTGTTTTTCAACTTTTTGCAATTTACAAATCTTATAAATCGAGATAACATAAAGTTTTACCTCTTTTCTCATGTTGAATTTCTCTCTCGATTTTCACCTCTAGCATTTTGGTCTCGCTGAATTCTCGCGAGGAAAGCTGTTCGGACGTATACGGATTTTGTTCATATTTTATTACGTTTATCTCCGAATTCTTCCGATTTATGCTAATGAGGTTAGGAGGTGTGTGTAAACCCGCGGCTTACGAATAAGTTTTGCGGAAACTGGACTTTTCACCCAGTGTGTTGTTTTTGGAGACCAGGTATTCCAGCAATCTATTGGAATACCCATGGGTACAAATTGCTCTCCGTTATTAGCAGACTTATTTTTATATTCATATGAAGCAGAATTTATGCAAAATCTTATGCGTGAAAAGAAAAAAAAAACACTTGCTGTGGCCTTCAATTCAACATTTAGATATATTGATGACGTATTGTCAATTGATATTAATTTCCATTCCTACGTCGATTCGATATATCCTGGTGAGCTTAAGATAAAATATACCACAGAGTCCGACACTTCTGTTTCATACTTGGATATTTTACTTGAAAAAGACAATAATGGTAATCTAACAACCAACCTATATGATAAACGTGATGACTTTTTTTTCTATCGTCAACTTCCCTTACTTATGCAGCAATATACCTTCATCACCTGCATACGGAGTATATATATCTCAGTTGATTCGATACGCAAGAGCATGCTCTACGTATGAACAGTTTCTAAAACGAGGTAAATTATTGACAAGCAAGTTGATGAAACAAGAATATCAACAGTCTCGTTTAAAGTAATCATTTCGTAAATTCTATGGTCGATACAATGACCTTGTCAGCAAATTCAATGTATCAATGAGTCAAATGCTGACTGACGTTTTTCATACCAATTGCTAGTCCATTACTTATACACTGAATTGACGACAGATTTTTCCCGTTATTTCCTGATCATGACAAGGAGCACACGGCAGGTGTGACCGGTCGACAGGGGATGCTCACTCCTCCATCGCACCTGATCCCACCTCTGATGTTTCGGGGGTCCGTGTTTGCTCTCCTCTTATTTTGTATTGTTTTATGGACTTTGAGATTGAATACTGTTCGTTATCTCCATATCCTTCTGTACCTACAAATGTGAAAGAATTGGAGTCTTTTTTGGGATTTGTGAATTACCACCGAGATCACGTAAGAGACTTCGCTGAGTATGCTGAACCTTTACACAAATTGGTCAATAAAATATCAGGATTTAAATGGACTGTTGAACATCAAGAGGCATTTGAAAACTTTAAAGATTCTCTTTTACATGCTATGTTTTGCATCATCCCGATCCTGATGAAATGTTAATATCAGACACAGATGCCTCTTATAAGTGCATTGGCGCAGAACTGAGTCAAGTTCAAAATGGTACAGAAAAAAAACAATTTGTTTTGCTAGTAAAGTTTAAACATCTCAACAAAGAAAGTACTGTAAAACAAGAAAAGAACTTCTATCTATTGTTGTTTTTGCCAGAGAATATAGACATTATTTATTAGGAAGACCTTTTGTAGTTAGGACTGATCGTAATAGTCTTATCTGGCTAATGAACTTTAAGAATATTCAAGGTCAGTTAGATAGGTGGTTAGAAGAACTAGCCCAATACAATATGGTTATTCAATATAGATCGGGTAAACATCATCAGAATGCAGATGCATTGTCAAGAATTCCTAATCCAACACCATCATGTAATGATTATAAAGCAAATATTCCACTCAATTCTCTTCCATGTGGGGGTTGCACCTTTTGTACTACAGCTAGGAAATAATGGTAAACTTTTGAGGAGGATGTAGATTATGTAGTTCCCATATCGGTAAAATGAACAAAAACAATACCAAAAGATCAACCTACGAACATATTAGACAATAAAAGAATAAAAAGTTCTCAAGAACAAGATCGAGACATTAGTCAAATAATACTATGGCTAAAAAAACAAATATGAACCATCTATTCAAGAATTACAGCTATCTAGTTAGACCATTACACATTTTTGGTTGTGCAAATCTCAATTACAAACAAAGCAAGGCATTCTGTACTATTTCTGGGAAGATCCTAGTACACTTAGATTGTTATATGTAGTACCAGAAAGTTTGAAACAAGAAATCCTTGAACTGTTTCATGACATTCAACTTTCAGGACATCTAGGAACATATACTTTTGAAAAAATAAAAAAAATATGCAATTTGGTATAATATGCGTTCAGATTGTACAGAATATGTAAAATCTTGTAAAGTAGTGTAATGAAAACAAAAAAGCCAACATCAAAGCTAGGACACAGTTAGGACAATATCATTCTGGTTTTCCCTTAGAAAGAGTACACATGGATATTTTAGGATCTTTACCTGAAACAAAGAAATGTAATAAATATGCCCTAATAATTGTTGACCAGTTTACAAAATGGATTGAATGTTTCGCCTTACCCAATCAAAGGGCAGAACCTATTGCAAAGAATTTTGTTGAAAATTTTATTTGTAGGTTAGGTTGCCCATTAGAATTACATACTGATCAGGGTAAAAACATGGATGGTGCTATTATGCATCAAATTTGTAACTTCTACAAATTGCTAAAACAAGAACAATTCTCTATCATCCAGCATCTAATGGTCAGGTAGAAAGGTACAACAGAACACTTTTGCAAGCTCTAAGATGTTATTTAAAAAATAAGCAAGACACATGGGATGATTATTAACCAAAGATTGCAGGTGCAATAAGGGCTTGAAAAAAAAAGACGAACAGGATTTACGCCAAATGAGATGATGTTAGGTAGAGATGTCATTCAACCATTAGACATTTTTTAGGTACCTCTGATAATTTGGAAGGAAAAGATACAAACACTTATGTGAAAGATCTCAAATCAAAGATAGAATCTACTCATTGTGAAGCTAGAGAACTTCTTAGCATAGACAAAAAAGGGACTATGATTTAAAAGCTTTACATAATAGATATCAGTGTGGGGATATTGTGTACAAATTAAATTATGCTGACATTGGGTCAAAGCCCAAAACTAAAGCCCCCATGGAAAGGTCCCTATTTCAAAAAGGAAATAAAATGACCTATTTATTTAAGATCAAAAACAGAAAAAAAGAAAAGGTCAAACATCATGACAGAATTAAATTATACAGACCGAAATATTCCTGTATGGTTATCTAGATTAAGAAACAAAATTTTAGAAAATCTTGACATTGATGAGAGTGTTCACAATGATCTTGAAGATTATAATCTTCCAGAGTTTTTTTTTTAATGAAAACCAAACTTTTTATGATGATGATCAAACCAACATGTCTCAGAATTCTCATTCAATGGCGTCGGATACTCTGATGTCTTTGTTTGATAATCCTGCTGAATGTAGAGGAAAGAGGAATCGAAGAAACCCTGCTTATTTTGATGATTATGATCTAAATGAGGACTGAAAATATACATTTTCGTTTTATGTGTAATATATATATTTTATGCCATATTATAGTTTTGGCATTGATGATATAGAGATAAATTCATATTTTTATGCTTAATTGACATTGCTTCGGTGGGAATATGCACAAATTTTAATCAGAGATCATGTATATATATATATCCTTGTAGCATCTTCTATTTAGCATCAAGATGGAAGAAGAATGGCAATTTGTACCTGACTATGCTCCTCATGAAAATGTGCCACCTGAAATCCCAACCAAATTATCCGGTACAACTTCAAAGATAAAAGAAAAACATGTCCTATCTGTCTCT